ATCTTTGTATATATATATTTAAAATCACACTTTTTAACGACTTTAGGACTTTATTGCTATATCTTCCTTAGTTTTGTTCCGATTCACATAATAATTTGATGAAACATTTTTGATCTAGAAAAAAAAAAGTTGTCACTATTAATTGGCCCAAGGAATAAAACAAAAAAAATCATGGAAACTTAGTAAAAAGTTATTCTAAGATTTGTACTGTTAATTTACCCAAAAAATAAAACAACAAAATATATGAAAACTTTTGAAAATAGTAAATCACAATGTTTCTATGTTGATACTACTTAGTTGTATGAGTTACGAAATCAAAATTATACAATAAAAATAAAATTTCGCCCAACGTGGGGCTCGAACCCACGACCCTGAGATTAAGAGTCTCATGCTCTACCGACTGAGCTAGCCGGGCTTTTGATGAGAGTCCGACATCTACTTATTTCAGCTAATGGCACTGCCATTCTGAAAAAGCTTTCATAACTAAGTCATTGCGATAATCTTGAAGACCTTTTGGCCATTCACGTCGGTAGGGTCCTGTGGCGCAATGGATAACGCGTCTGACTACGGATCAGAAGATTCCAGGTTCGACTCCTGGCAGGATCGTAGTATTATATTTTTTATTTACAAAATAAAATAGACTGTTCACTTTTTTTACGTAACATATGCCGTTTTTAAAAGTTTTTCGCTATGAACTGAATCGGCCTGCGCTTTTCATCGCTCAACTTCCAACGGCAATTTTTATGGTAATTTTTTTTATGTATCAAAAGTCAAGGTATCTCAAGAACAATAAGTTTGAAATTTAAAAAAAAAACGTTCATATAGGATATAGTACTATAAGCCTTTCAAACCTTCCTTTTTTTGGATATCCCGCGTAACTAGCGGTTTTTTTAAACGTTATATATATTAATACACCCATAAAGTCCTCAAGTCCCTAAAACCAAAAAGGGATTCATACAAACAGAGGGACAAACATTTTCAGTTTGGAAAGTCCACAAAAATCTTGTGTTTGGAGTAACTTGTGAACGGGATTTTAACAAATAAGGTGTCATTCGACGCGTATTCACTTAAAAACAAGGAAGAACGCTATAGTCGAGTACTTCGACTATCAGATACCCGTTACTCAGCTAATGTGACCAAAGCGAAATGGAGATATGCAAGCAGCAAAGCGAGATTAAAATGCGCCACCTACCGGCGGTAGACAGATTTAAGCGTTATGGGCTTTAGAGTGGGCGTGGCAAATTTTTGAATCAATCGATAGGTATTCACGAGACCAATACATTTCAGTTAAAAGTTTTTATCTAGCATAAAAATTGTGGGCGTCACAGGTTTGGGCGGTTTGTGGGCGTTAGAGTGGGCGTGGCAAACTTTTTTTTTGTCAATCGATAGATATTGATGAGAACAATACATTTCAGTTAAAATTTTTATTTCTATTCAAAACTGTAGGAGTTAAAATTTTTATTTCTATTCAAAACTGTAGGAGCCACAGTTTTGGGCGGCTTGTGGGCGTTAGAATGGGCGTGGTACTCTGCTGAAACAAATTTGCCACGCCCACTCTAACGCCCATAACGCTTAAATCTGTATACCGCCGGTAGGTGGCGCATTTTAATCTCGCTTTGCTGCTTGCATATCTCTATTTAGCTGAGTAACGGGTATCTGATAGTCGAGGTACTCGACTATAGCGTTCTTCCTTGTTTTGATTTGTATATCACTCGTTACTGTCAGACCATCACATACGATTTTGAATTCTGCGGCTATATGTACATACATAGTAGTCGCCTTCGCAGACTCTTCTCTAAAAATAACAAGAGAAAACGCTATAGTCGATGGCCTCGACTATTAGATACCCGTTACTCAGCTTAAGGGAGTGCGAGAGGGATGAGATATGCTTAAAGTAAATTTGTTTTTTTCACTAACATACCTAGCCTATAGCGCCACCTATCTTCTTCTTTTATAGCGCCACTTGGCCTACCGCTCTTAGCGGTTTGGTGGCGTATTAGTGAAAACAGCTAATTTTTGGTTATAACCTTTTAATGCCTAGTCCGATTTTCATAATTTTTGGCATGTAGATAGGTATTGATAATAAGAACAAACTCTTATTTAAATTTTTACAAAATGTGGGCGCTAAACGTGTTTTTGTATGATAGTCGTTTAGTTAGAGGGGGAGTGGCATCTTGCTAAAACAAACTGGCGCTGCGCAGGAAGCTACGTAAGAAGCTCAGGAATCTGCACGCCAAATCTCAATAGCCTAGCTCTTATAGTTTCCGAGGTCTCAGCGTTCATCCGGACAGACGGACAGACAGACAGACAGACATGGCTAGATCGACTCGGCTAGTGATCCTGATCAAGAATATATATACTTTATGGGGTCGGAAACGCTTCCTTCTCTCTGTTACATACTTTCCGACGAATCTAGTATACCCTTTTACTCTACGAGTAACGGGTATAAAAAGTTAATTGTTAATTTTATGTTTGAACTGATGTTTCATCGATGTTTAACTTCAAAAATATCGAAATCATCGATGGTCTTAAACATCGATTGTTTTCCAGCCCTTTTGACTACTTTCAGTTCTTATGATTCTAATTAGCAGTTTAACAACATGCGTTGAGCGGCCGAAAAAAATTCAAGAAAAGTTCCGCAGAAAACGGTAGCTCGAGAACCAGCATACATGTCCAGCACGATTTTTTAATAAATTTGTTTTAATTTTTAAGGCGCTTTACCTTTAAAACAAAAAACACCATACATTCAAGAACAATTTCGTATGCTTTTAATTCTGTGATATCGTTTTAGCTGCAAGGATATATAACTTCAGCTTGCCGGAGCTAGCTTCCTTCCTGGTTGCCTTTAATATCAATCACAAAATCAACGATTGTGGTTTGTTGCTTGTTTTAATTTGTATGAAACCGTACAGTTTGATAAATCATACCGGTTCCCAGCGAAAGTCAAACCAATTTCCAAACAAACTATTGGGTTGGCAAGAAAGTCATGTCGTTTTTTTTCAATATTTTCAAAGATGATTTATTTATATCAGGACTTATAATTAATCAATTATGTATTGGCCGTTTTGTTCGACCACTAATGACCATCTCTCGGGCAGCTGCATAATTCCGCGCTCGAAGTACTTTTGGTCTTTTCCAGCAAAGAATCGAGACAAGTGGTTTTCGACAGCCTCATCTGAATCAAAGTTTTTACCATTCAAAGAGTTTTGAAGAGAGCGAAACAAATGGTAATCTGAAGGTGCTAAGTCCGGACTATAAGGTGGCTGTGGTAGCACTTCCCAATTCAGCTCCGTTAATTTTTGCCGAGTGACCAAAGATGTGTGGGGCCTAGCGTTGTCATGATGAAAGACTATACCCTTGCGATTAGCTAGTGCCGGCTCCTTTTCTTTAATTTTTTCCGCCAAATTGGATAGCTGGCGACAGTACACATCTGAATTGATGGTTTCATTCCGTCCCAGCAGCTCAAAGTGCACTACACCCTTCCAATTCCACCAAACAGACAGCATAACTTTCCTCTGATGGATATCGGCCTTTGATGTGGCTTGGGCTGGCTCATCTTTCTTGCTCCATGATCTTTTTCGTTGGACATTATTGTAAACAACCCACTTTTCGTCGCCAGTAATGATCCGCTTCAAAAAAGGATCGTTTTTAATCCGTTGCAGCAGAGAATAGCAGATGTTGATACGCTTAGTTAGGTGAATTTCCTTTAAGTTATGCGGAACCCAAACATCGAGCTTGCTTACGTAGCCAAGTTTCTTCAAATGGTTTTCAACCGTTGTATGCGACACACTGAGCTTCTCTGACATCTCCCGCGTTGAATAGCGCCGGTTTTCATCCAGCAAAGCCTGAATTTGTTCGTCAAAAACGGCCGATGGTCGACCAGAACGTGGGGCGTCTTTAACTCCAAAATCTCCAAGCCTGAATTTGGCAAACCAGCGCTGACATTGGCGATCACTCATGGCATCTTTACCATACACTTCGCACAATTTTTCGCGAGCTTCGACCGCTTTTTTTCCTTTTCGGAAGTAAAAAAGCAAAATATGCCGAAAATGCTCACTTTGGTCCTCCATGTTTAATTTGCTATAGCTTCCACAAATGTTATCGAATAATTACCAAATTTTCGTCGATAGTACCTAAGACAATAAGCTTTAAAACGATACTAAAAAGTGTGACCCTGGTGCTCGATTAGTCGTAAATAAATTAGATTAAAAAAGATTACTAAAAAAAACGACATGACTTTCTTGCCCACCCAATAATAAAAAGTATATTTCTGATAACACAGACTAGTAAAAACGTTCAATTTAGTTTGTTCGGATTCCGGTAATACTGGTCAGGGGTTCCCTGAACTTGTGCTGTAGTCTAACAGCACACGCTGACTCGTTCAAACCAAATCATAATTCTCATTCGCAGTTGATTCAACTTTTTGCATTGTCACGAAGCCTAAGCGAAATAGAGTCTGCGATTTTCGCTAGTCAAGCATTGAATGCCGTTTTAAATACCCTTATCATGGGTTGGGGAGTGTATACACTGAAACAAGTCGGACTATATTAATTATTAAGAAAGGACATTTAAAAAATATTAAATAGTGGTTATCCAATTACTTCATCACGCGTAGTTCTCGCGAATGTATACAAAATATATTTATTATTTTTTAAGGGAGAGGTGTTTTGAACAGAAAAAAATATGTTTGAACTAAAATTTAATTTAGAGAAAATACATTTACACTGCAAGGTTTGCGAAGACTGTTTTGAGGTGAATCTTATTTTAAAAGCTTATAAACACTTTTCTTTAATTTGGGCTCTTCTAATATGTTTTACAATTAAATTATTGGAAAACGCTTGAAAAAAATAATTTTTAAATTTATATTAATTTCGTAAGTTTTTTTTAGTGTTGAATTTTTGGAGCGCTTTCGTGATAAGCGTTAGAACGCATCTACGTTACCCTATATTTAGAATGGCTGTTCCCGCCGGAAAAGCTTGCCGATCGCTTAAAAGCACTCCACTGAGAGGCGATTTCAATAGTGACTCCTTGGATTCGAAGCTTCCAACATGTCAATCGAGCTACCGCTTCTTCTCGCCACATTAACGATCGTTTTCTACATTTGGCAGAGACGGGTCTTTACTTTTTGGAAGCGCCATGGTGTTAAATACATTCGCCCACTGCCCCTTCTGGGCAGCACCGGAGAATTTCTTACCGCACGAGTTCCGTTCTTCGAGCAGATCCAAAAGTTCCACGAAGCCCCTGGCTTCGAAACTGAACCTTTCGTAGGCGTGTACATGGCTTATCGGCCGGCTCTAGTTATTCGCGATCTAGATCTGATCAAGACTGTGATGATCAAGAAGTTTCAATACTTCAACAACCGCGTTCTGCAGACAGACCCACACAGAGACCCCCTTGGCTTTAACAATCTCTTCTTTGCTCGCAGTCCTGCGTGGAGAGAGTTACGAACTAGGATCTCTCCTGCTTTTACCACAGGCAAGATTAAGCAGATGTATCCTCTTATGGTGAAGGTAAGTGGCAAAGAGATTCAAAATATATTTGATCAAGGTATACGATTTTTCAAAGGGCCACGCATTGGTTGTCTTTAATAATTAAAGGCAGTATTGATAAGTAAATATTTGCACGTTAGCTCAGAAATAAAACAGTATTCTTCTCATAGATTGGAAAGAATCTGGAAGACAGCGTGGAACGCCTGGGTAGCGGCTCGAACGTTCAGGTCAAGGATCTATGCGCCCGCTTCACCACCGACCTAATAGCCACCATAGCCTTCGGTCTGGAGGCCAACGCTCTGCAGAACGCAAAGAGCGAGTTCTTCTACCACAACAAGGCTATCTTCACGATGACTCTAGGTAGGGCCATTGATTTTGCCATAATTTTCATGCTGCCGGCTCTGGCGCCGCTAGCCCGCGTGAAACTCTTTTCTAAGGAAACCACCAAGTTTATCCGAACCAGCATCAACTACGTACTGGCAGAACGCGAGAAGACTGGTGAAAAGCGAAATGACCTTGTCGATATCCTTCTGGCTCTGAAGCGGGAGGCTGCCGCCAATCCGGAGAAGTCGCAAAAGGCAATCGATCTAGATTACCTGGTGGCCCAGGCGGCTATTTTTCAGACAGCCGGGTTTGAAACTAGCTCCTCCACAATGACGCTAACACTTTACGAGTTGGCCAAGAACGTGGCTCTCCAGGACCGCCTGCGGCAGGAAATCGCCGACTTTTTCGGAGACGAGGATCATGTCAGCTACGAACGTATTCAGGAGATGCCCTACCTGTCTCAGGTCGTCAACGAGACACTGCGCATGTATCCGATTGTGGGCTACATTGAACGAGAATGCTCTCAGCCTTCGGATGGTGAACGGTTCACCCTTGATCCATTTCACAACATGGAGCTGCCGCATGGAATGCCCATCTACATGTCGACCCTTGCGGTCCATCGGGATCCCCATTACTGGCCAGACCCGGATAAGTTCGACCCGGAGCGATTTAATCCGGCGAACCGCTGTAACCTCAACATGGACGCCTACATGCCATTCGGCATAGGTCCTCGCAACTGCATCGGTATGCGATTGGGTTTGCTACAGTCAAAACTGGGGCTTGTCCACCTTTTGCGTCACAACCAGGTCCACACGTGCGACCAGACCGTTAAGAAGATTGAGTGGGCTGCTACTAGTCCGGTTATGGCCTCCAAACACGACATTGTCCTTCGACTGGAAAAGGTTTTTAATTAGTTGGCTTCTTGACAAAATTAATTAACAACGTAGGTGAATTAAAATTATTTTGTTGTAATTAAAGAAACTGGAATCAAAAGAAGAGTCGCTTTACAGTAGTGCCTTACAGCTCTTTGGGAACATAGCGTAGGACTAATTCTTCAAACTTTGTATACCCGTCACTGGTAGAGCATATGGTATACAGTGCTGCCATTTTGTCTTTTTCCGGACAGATCTGTCCTTTTTATACCCGTTAAGGGTATACTAGATTTCTCTGAAAGTATGTAATAGGATCTTGATCAGGATCACTAGACGAGGCGATCTGGACATGTCCGTATGTCCGTCCGTATGAACGCTGAGATCTCGGAAACTATAAAGGCTAAAAAGTTGGTATTTGGCATGCAGCGCAAGTTTGTTTCAGCAGGTTACTAGCACCACAATTTTCGAATATTTTTGAAAAATGTATATGAGATTTTGTTTTGATTATTAAAATTTATCTACATGTTCAATTCGGACCATTCATTAAAAGCTATAAGCAAATCAATTGTACAGTCTTGGGAACAGACGCTTTGCTACTTGTATAATATACAATGTATACCTCTAATGGGGCCCTGCTCGACTATATTCAAAACCGTGTGTGGATATCCAAACAAGTTTTGATTTTATTAGTTCCAAATCAATTTCTATTTTAAGGTCGTCATTATGGTTAAATATTCGCCGTTCGATTTAATATAAGGACATTAATATGATCCAAGATAAGGACATTGCCAATCGTTACCATATTGTTATTATGAGAATTCTTTGCGGGACTCGGACGAAATTTTTATTGACGCACATGTTTTCCTTAAAAAGATTTCTGTGTGACTCCCAAAAAAGTAATAAATAAAAGTAATATTTCATTTATTGTCAACTAAAACCGATTTAATTTTGTGAAATTTGTTATATATGCTTTTCTTGAACAGTTTAATATTAATCTGGACATTATTTTAGTTTTTATACAGTATTACAAAATAGTTTGCTTAAGGGTGTTTCTTAAAAACATTATTTCCTTCACCATACGATCATTTGTTACCAAACAAGCCCTTTTTATACCCGTTAAAAGAGTAAACGGGTATACTAGATTCGTCGGAAAGTATGCAACAGGCAGAAGGAAGCGTTTCCGACCCCATAAAGTATATATATTCTTGATCAGGATCACTAGCCGAGTCGATCTAGCCATGTCCGTCTGTCCGTCTGTCTGTCTGTCCGGATGAACGCTGAGATCTCGGAAACTATAAGAGCTAGGCTATTGAGATTTGGCGTGCAGATTCCTGAGCTTCTTACGCAGTGCAAGTTTGTTTCAGCAGAGTGCCACGCCCACTCTTACGCCCACAAACCGCCCAAAACTGTGGCTCCTACAGTTTTGGTGATAGAATAAAAATTTTAACTGAAATGTATTTTTGTGTGTTCTCAGGGGCATTTATCCCGATCGACTGCAGCAGCTGCAATTTTCTAAATTTTCACTTTTACACTTTCTCCGATTTTTTCCCAAGCCAATTAAAATATCTAAAGTCTTGGTATACAATCTTCTTAGTTTTCTCGATACCTTTGAATTGGTGTATCACTTGTTACGATCAGACCATCATAGCTGATTTTCAATTCTGCGGCTATAGTAGTTGTTTTCTCACACTTTCTGGTCCACAGTGATTTCTAACAACTTTTTAACTATTAAACATTTATGCTTATTTATTTGTTTTATTTTAGTGAGCAAAAAATTGTGTATATATTTTAAGTAAAAGGAAAACATTTAAAAACGAAAATAGAAATTTTTTTTGAACACGGTTCAGTGGCGTACCGTGGACCACACAACCGACCACGCCCGAGGCGTTCCAGTGCTGTCATAGCGGCTGTACAGGTGTGTTACGGAGGACCCCACCGTATCGTACCGGCGGCATTCGCAGCATATAAACGTTAGTGGCACCACGATGCGGCGTATTTTGAACATTCCCGTACCAAATACAGATAACCCAACGATTATTGCCCGATGGCAAGCCGCGGCGGTTGGCCTACGCCGGAAAAGTAGCTGAGAAATGGCCAATATATCAGCAGATATGCTGAAGAAAGTCAAGGAAATGCTCGAAAAAGGTCACTTTTGGCCATCAAGAACAAAGGTGGCCATTTGGTAGATATTGTATTCAACCAAACTCACTCAAATGAATTGGAAAGATTCAATCTAAGCAAACAACATTTTCCATAATTTTGTGTTTTTATACCCGTTACTCGTAGAGTAAAAGGGTATACTAGATTCGTCGGAAAGTAAGTAACAGGCAGAAGGAAGCGTTTCCGACCCCATAAAGTATATATATTCTTGATCAGGATCACTAGCCGAGTCGATCTAGCCATGTCCGTCTGTCCGTCTGTCCTTCTGTCCGTCTGTCTGTCCGGATGAACGCTGAGATCTCGGAAACTATGGGAGCTAGGCTATTGAGATTTGGCGTGCAGATTCCTGAGCTTCTTACGCAGCGCAAGTTTGTTTCAGTAGAGTGCCAAGCCCACTCTAACGCTTACAAACCGCCCAAAACTGTGGCTCCTACAGTTTTGATGCTAGAATAAAAATTTTAACTGAAATGTAATGCTCTAATCAATACCTATCGATTGACCCAAAAAAAAATTGCCACGCCCACCCTAACGCCCATAAACCGCCCACAAACTTCAAAAAATCGTAAATATGAACGTGGATATTTTGGAAACTATCAAAGATAGAGAATTGGGATTTCAGATTTAGATTGCGTAGCCTTATACGCAGCGCAAGTTTGTCGCGCGAATATGCCACGCCCACTCTAACGCCCACAAACCGCGAAAACCTGTGACGCTCACAATTTTTATGCTAGATAAAAAATTTTAGCTGAAATGTATTGGTCTCGACAAAACCTATCGATTGGTCCAAAAAATTTGCCACGCCCACTCTAACGCCCATAACGCTTAAATCTGTATACCGCCGGTAGGTGGCTCATTATACCCGTTACTCGTAGAGTAAAAGGGTATACTAGATTCGTCGGAAAGTATGTAACAGGCAGAAGGAAGCGTTTCCGACCCCACAAAGTATATATATTCATGATCAGGATCACTAGCCGAGTCGATCTAGCCATGTCCGTCTGTCCGTCTGTCTGTCCGTCCGGATGAACGCTGAGATCTCGGAAACTATGGGAGCTAGGCTATTGAGATTTGGCGTGCAGATTCCTGAGCTTCTTACGCAGCGCAAGTTTGTTTCGGCACAGTGCCACGCCCACTCTAACGCCCACAAACCGCCCAAAACTGTGGCTCCTACAGTTTTGATGCTAGAATAAAAGTTTTAACTGAAATGTATTGTTCTCATCAATACCTACCGATTGACCCAAAAAAAAGTTTACCACGCCCACTTTAACGCCCACAAACCGCGAAAACCTGTGACGCCCACAATTTTGATGCTAGATAAAAAATTTAAACTGAAATGTATTGGTCTCGTCGATACCTATCGATTGATCCAAAAAAAAATTTGCCACGCCCACTCTAACGCCCATAACGCTTAAATCTGTATACCGCCGGTAGGTGGCGCATTTTAATCTCGCTTTGCTGCTTGCATATCTCCATATAGCTGAGTAACGGGTATCTGATAGTCGAGGTACTCGACTATAGCGTTCTTCCTTGTTTTAATCTCGCTTTGCTACTTGCATATCTCTATTTAGCTGAGTAACGGGTATCTGATAGTCGAGGTACTCGACTATAGCGTTCTTCCTTGTTTTTTCAATATTTTCACACCAAAGCTCGAGATGGCGCACCCTGTAAATTTTCACTTTTACACTTTCACCGCTCTTTCTCCCAAACCAATTTATTTTTTTAGTTTTTGCGATACCTTTCGATTAATGTATCACTCGTAACGATCACAGTAGATTTTCATTTCTTCGTGTATACTGCCGTCCTCAGTGATAAAACTGTATTACAAAATAAAATGAAAAAAAAAATATTTTACCCTTTTTTCTTGGAATGGATGGGAGGGGTAAGTCTCCATCACTTTGAGAGCAAGAATGCTCTTTGTTGGACAATTAAGAAGTTCACATTTCTTAGGGGGATACCCGTTTCCAAAATGCAAGCTAAATTAGTTCGTAAAATAAGTGCAGTTTTTACTCATTATGAGGAAAATTTAAAAAAAAAGAGCAGAAATGTACTCAATTTAGGTAAACCTTTTTTTGAGAAATTTGTGAGTACTTACAAGCAAAGTTAGAATTTTTGTTCATGCTTAATTTGTGAGTACAAAAATTCCCAACTTGAGAGCAAATTACTTATCTCTGTGTACTAGTAGTGGGTATAATAAAAGTCTAAGTCCGCGAATTATTTAGGACAACCGGAACCAGCCGTACCAACATACGAGATCTCGGTGTCATTTCCATTGGCAACAGATATTTAAGACTTATATATTTTTCATAATTTAAGAACTATTTGTTATTGACATTTTCTGTAAAGGTCTTCAAATAACATTTATTCAGACTTTTATTTTTCAGTCTTAATATAATAGAAATACCCTTGCAGAGGGTATAATAATTTCAGTCACGTTTCCGACCCCATAAAGCATATGTATTCCTGATCAGCATCTCTAGATGAGTTGATGTAGCCATGTCTGTCTGTCCGTTGCTACGCAAACTAGTCTCTCAGTTCTAAAGCTTTCGGGATTAAACCTTTCCAAAAGTCTTAATTCTATTACAGGTACTGTAAAAGTCGGAAAGAGCAGGATCGGACAACTAATTAAAGAAAAAATGTTTTCTGAGATATTAATGTGGGAAAGGAAAAGAAGACAAGGAGTGGTCATGTCTACAACAGCTCTGCCTAAACTTATTTTACTTTATTTACATTAAGGTATATTCAAATCTGTTAACGTAAAATTATCGCTTGCAACTCTGTTAAAATATTATATTCGATACCACACGAAAAGAATCGTCGCATAGAGTACTCGCTTTTGCTTTCTGTTTTTCCGAGGAAGAAGATGTAAAACGGAATATCTTATTGTCTATCAATTAAATAAAGTCATTAAACTTAATTGTTGAGATTATCTTTGAACCATCACCGGCGGTCCTACAAATTTGGTGTCAGAAGTGGGATTTACTTGGAAAAACGGCAGAAAAGCGGACGTGCCACACAGATTCATTAAAATCAGAGTGCGGACAACATTGTTCTAGAAGGAGGGAAAGCAGTTCACCGGCAGATCGTATACACCTGAGAGGTAAAGTAAGGTGCGCAACCTGCGCAAAGGTTCTGCAAGTGAGCGAGGAGGCGTCAAAATCTTGCTTTGGGAAAGCGCAAATTGGGTGAAAAAGCCTGAAAAGCAGCGTCACCTTGGCCACAGGGTGTGTCGTGCCAAAGAAGGAAGACTTGAGACTACCAGCAAGTACCAGAATTGCGCTGTTCGCAGAAGAGGACAGTGAGCGATCTGGATCATTTTTTTTTGTATTTTTATACCTATAACCTATAATATTTCACAAAATTTAACCATTAAGTTAAGTACAATAATTTGTTATAATTGAAAAATTTCTACTATATGTAAGCAGAGAGTAACAACGAGTACAGAATGCAGAGGGATGAAATTTTGTCGCTTAACGTAAACGAGCTAAAAGAGCAATTATCACAGCTTAATTTAGCTACAAGAGGTAGAAAGCAAACATTGCAGGACAGACTTCTCGACCACTACAACTTACCGGCTGACGACATCGAAGATGAGGAATCTGACTACGGGGATGCAAGTTCAATGCACAACCCAAGACCCAAATCAGACGAAGGCCGTAGTTCATTTACACTGCGCGACATTGAGGACTCACTTTCTCAGTTTAATGGTTCGAGCCAGCCGTCTGTTCACAGCTGGATCCAAGAGTTTGAAGATAATGC